CCCTTCATAGCTCCAACATTTCCTCCCCACACAAACCGACGTTTTCACTATAGGGAGATTTTTCTCTTTTCCCCTCAGTTCTTACGCGTTTACGTTCAACAGGAAGACTCGGAAATATCACATACAATTTTAGCTACAGCCTTAGTTTTCAGGGCAAACTTCTTTTGAATCTGACGAATCTATAGTTGTCAGGACAAGGACCTCTGTGAAGTAATGGCGGATGTCGAAGCCACTTCTGGTATTCGGCTACTGGCTGCTATCCTGATTTTAATACCGACCCTTTGCGGCCTTTTATTGCACACTGTACTCGGCGTTGTGCTGTACTCTGTGAGTATATTAAGTTATCAAATATTTTACTTCGATTAAAACCAGGTGATCACAGGGATGGAAGACGTTCAGAGGAAACAGCTTCTATTTGATTACCGTACAACTGATGTGCGCTGATGTATGTGCACTCATTCTAGACCTTTACGCAGCGTTCCCATTGACTCTTACAGGGGTTCAGGTTGGAATTTTACTTTTCAAACAAACCTTACCTTCTGGACAATTAAGGAAACTTGTGTCGGTTTCGGAGCGTTGAAGCCTCTTATACTTTCAGTACATGGGCAATAGTGTGGCCTTTTACTACGTACCATTGTCATTCGAAAGTATTGCCTTCAATGGTATATTCAACCTGTCGCTTCTTTTAACAGTCAATCGCTTTTTGTTGTTTTTATACCCTGGACTGCATAAGAAGATTTTCACTTCACGAGGGACGAAAACGTACGTTTTCCCAAGGCTAAAGAAAGCTATTACACCACTAATGCTGTTCTCACCAGCTGCCCCGAAATAATGTCAATAATTGTTCATAGAATCACATTTAGTTTATCCCTACTTGTATGGGCCTACGTCTTCACCTTCATCATAGCCTCGAATGTCGCCGGATGTCACAAGGAGTTCAACAAGGAAGGTAGGTTCTATTCCCGAGTTCAGTTCCATTACTTGTATGAATGGATTCCAGTACGCCCGCGATAAGCGACATATGTCTTACGCTGCCCGAGTAGAGAATATACTCGCGTTCATAGTTAGCGCAAGTCGCACTCGGCGATGGCACGTCCTGACCCATGTGCTACTTCCTTCATTTTCCCCTTTTGGATGCCAGCGCGATTCTTTTTTTCAAAAATCGATAAAATCAGTATAATATTAGCAATTACAGACTTTTATTATTGGTACAACTGTGGGAATGATTCAACGGCCAATCACATCAAACAGGTGAACATTTGACTGATTTGATCTTGATATCTAAGAGACATTTTACGATTTTTTTCAGTTCATTTTAATCGATGCTTGCGTGATTCCATGTGCAATGACTGTAATGTATATAGCCATTTATATCAAAATTCGAGTAGCAAAGATGGGCATCAGTGCGAGCACTCGACCATCAGTAAACAAAGAGATCAGATATGTGATGCAGGTAAAGTTTGCTACATTCCCTTGAATGACATGGATCAGACCTAGGGGTTTTAAATTGAGCGCGACCCGGTCCTACCACATTAGACAGCACCGCTGAATGCTGGCTGACGAGAATGAACTATAAAACTATTGAGAGGACTCGCTTTTTCATGAAAATATCTAAACCCCTCTCTGGTATCACTGATCCAAGTTTCTGTCAGAAGGTGGGCGAAATTAGGTGAAGGTAAGGTAACGTAGCACGACGCAAACGGTCATAAATTAAGGTTAAGGAGTATAGTTTAACCAGCGCTTCTCATCAGTCCCAGCATAGGCCTTTCACTCGGGATCGTATTGATGTTTTTGAATGCATGAACGGCCTACACAACGGATTGTAGTGGGTAGGCATGAAGAATACAGTGCCTCGATCTTTGCAAACGACTCTGGTAGCAGTTGTCTCCAGGAAGATAAATGACTTTGTTGGTTCGGGTAGTCCAGAATTCTTCCTCCAAGGGATCGAAATCAAAAAGATCTAAAGGTTTTTGGAATCTCTGAAAATAACCCTAATTCATTTCAGACGGTGCTGATTTGCATACTTATCTTTGTTGAAGTTGCTGGCTTCGCATTTATACCATTTTTGGGAGCTGAAGGCTATGATCGATTTTATCTAAACATACTTCTGAATTCGATTATCATAAGTAACAATCTAGTAACACCGATTGTAATTTTAATTTTCAATAGTGATGTGAGGCAAAAGTTGAAACAAATGTACGGAGGAAATTCTCCTATAGTTTCTGTAGCGATCTACTCCAAAACATTTAAGTGAAATCAACTTTTTCTACACGGTCTCCGACATTTACAACAATAAGTCCATCTGTATTTCTGCCTTGAGAAGTGATGTACGATAAAAGTTCCTGCTTAGTAATTCTTGTGCTGTACAAGGTTTTTAGATGAACAATTTGGTAAATTAATGGCCTAAGGTTTCGACGCAATCATCTTTTTCAAAAGCCTGAATGCAGCTTTCAGATGGTTGGACAACATCCAAAAAGCGCACTGTCTCCTCTGGCAAATGACGACAATTCAAAACCCACAATTTGAGGGATGGTCACCAAGATTTCACTGATCAACCGAACAGAAACCAGACGTCGCCTTAAAATCACAGTTCACGATAAAAATGGTCTCTGAAATTCTCCCACAAGATGAATTTGAGGTCCCCGCATATACCGCATATCTGGCACTTTTAACTCGGAAAACGGCCTAGTTAGGGAGTTATGAAAGCCCAAAGATTGCACCGTGTGTATCCTCGGACGAGTTTCACCGTCATTGTAGTGGCCGCACCGATCACGAGGGAACCCATGTAGGAAGAAAAACAACTTGTCATGACCCATTGCGGCACAGAAAGAAGTTCTGTCAGTTCTGGCTTGATGTAGTCAGCTCTTTGTGCAATTGGAATAACTGAAATCTCGTCCGAATACCCCTTCTATGTTATTTCAGTCATGGCAATCTCGTCCAACCTCTATTTTCTCTACTTTTGAGGAGCCTTTTTTTTCTCGAAATCGGCGGATTCCCTCGCTTTCTTCACTAGCGATGAACTATTCCCAATCTATACTTCCGCTTTTCGAATAAAAACGGGTACCTCGAAATTATCGTGAACTGTGCCTTTAAGCGACTGTCTGTTGCGAGTTGAACTTTTTGCACACAGTAAAATGTCTCGTTAAAATTCTTTTACAACAGTTTTCATAAACCCGTAACAATGAAANATGAACTATAAAACTATTGAAAGGACTCGCTTTTCCATGAAAATATCTAAACCCCTCTCTGGTATCACTGATC